TTCCGTCCTTTGACCTATAGGTGAAACATGCTCTCAAACCATTTCTATTATTAGTGACATTAGTTTTTATTCATTAGCTGGTGATACCTTGTCAGACATGTCCCATTTCAATATCAGGGAGGGTTCTTAAACGATCTCAATAGTGAACTTAAGACACAAACAGGGTTAGATGCCATACAACCTTGTAAACACTATTTCTTGTAACAATAATAGCAATAGAATAGAGGGAAGAAGAAAGAAAAAGTCAGAATACCTAAGCGAGCAAACATAAGAGATGCAGCAAGATCAGTTACTACCACCATGAATCAAGTGACATCCTGTTGGCTCGGTCTCTCCTGAAATCCCAGCTCTGAGCCCTGAGAGAGGAGTGTGCAGTCCTTTTATTGTCCCAGTCCTTACTATTTCTCCAAAAAGTCCGCCCATTTCCACAAAGCTCATTGTCATATGTGCCGCCCCGTGTTCCTTCATGCGTGCATACCCAGGTGTTCACAGTGGTGCTGTTTGGGAAGGGGTGTCAGACTCCGCTGTCTTCAGCCTCCACACGCCTTCCTCACCCTGATTTCTTCTCCACCTGGCTCATGCACAAGCACAGCTTGGCAGGCACTGCCAAGGATGTATTTCTGGCTTCAGGTAGATATGGTGGTTTCTTCAGGGACAGTTCGTCTCCTTCAGAGCGTGCTCCTCCATGGCAACAGGATGTTGAGGCCAAGTAGTGGCAGTGGTGCAGCAGCAATGTCAAGACAACACAGTCTTTCACACCACCCCATGGCTCAACATTACTGTCCTTGTGGTGGCGTGAAGGATAGAGACACAGAGAGAGAAAGAAGACAGAAATAGCGTGCAACACAATAACTGACAATATTTCTGGTTAACATATAACTAATAACATCTTTAACAGATATCTAAATTTTCTGTTAATAAACATGTCACTAATAATATCTTCAGTTAACAAGTATATAGCTAGCAACATCTCTAACAAATGTCATGCCTAAAATTAACTATGAAACTCTATAAAACCAAAACATTCTACAAACCAATTTTAAGGTTGTGAGGAATCAGTAGAAGAACATGATGGCAGTTTACATGGTAGACATTTACAAGGACAAAAAAGACATACTACAAGAGTAATTGACATAATAGTTAACAAAGTTAAGGCTATAAAGTGAATTGGAATCACCACTAACATGTGATCCATTATTTTTCTGCTGTTCTAATATACCACTGAGTGTTGGTGGCCCTGGCAGTCCATGCAGTCTGTTGCCCTGCTCTGCCGAAGTTGGTGTCAGCAGATGCAGCAGGAAAATCACTTTCCATGCCCCCTTATCCTAAAGCTCGTGCGTCATCTAGGCCTAGAAACTTCTATCCCGGATTTAAACAAAGGTAAATGAGCAATAACACCGAATATAACAAATAAACCAATATTAACACTAACAGTAACAATGTCAATTAACAATATTTTAACCAAATATATTTAACCAAAATGTGGCCCAGGCTGGGTCTAAGGATATGCTCCTGGTCCTTGGGGATTGGGGGGAGAAGGTGGTTGTCTACATGAACAAGTATAATTACAGGACGTTTTACATGGACACTTACAAGACCAACACATACATATCACAAGGGAAAATATTCTGGGTTTGTTGTCAGTTGTGGAGCTGAAGTTGGTGGTCTGGCTCACTGGAGTTGGGAGTCTGCCTACACAGCAGGAAAATGGATTTCCTGGCCCCCAGCCTAGAGTGCCTGTTTAGGCCTTGGTACCTCCATCTACCCCCAGGCCCCGTTAACAAAAGGACCTTCCCCTGATTCGGTGTCTGTTGTTTGCTCA